CACTCATCTCAAGTTTATTAAGGCCCTTCTCTCCGTTTATTAATTTTACTTCGTTTATTAACTTGTTATCAGCAAAGAAACTTTCTCAAAATTTACAAAAAAATAAAATTTATTATAAACGGCCTTTATACTGGTCTTAGAAATTAGAAAATAAAAACTTTTAGTGTAATCAGGTTTTAAAAATCGCAATACAATGCTGAATGTACGTTTGGGGAATTCAACCCTTCATTTGTTTTGTGTTTGTCATTTATTTTGCTGAAGAAGGTATATTTTTCCTCATTGCAATGTCCCATTTAAAAAGTTTACATAACCACAAGACACAAATATATAATAACAATTAGAAATAAAATAGAAAATAACAAATAATTAAGAAATGATTACACTTTTTAAAATGTTTTAGAAATTTATAAACAAAAATTCTTAAATTAAAAGATATAAGAATAAATTAAAGTTTCATAACTAACGAAATCAGGACACCTTTTCAAGATGCAATTAAGAAGATAAAAGTTGTAATTAAGAAACGTAAGATGTAATTTAAAACATGAGGGTTGTAAATAAGAAATCCTAAGATGTAATTGGGAACATATTAGTTATAATTAAGTTTATAATATAGGTTTACAGAACAATTTTTTCAAAAAGTAATAAAATACTGTCAGTAAAATAAAAAAATCACGCAAAAAGGCATTTGCGGTATAGATGGTAGCTGGAAAAATCCTATCGGATGTCAATAAGAACTTTTTTTTTTTGTGAAAAATTCTTGAACTCAAATAAATAATAAGTAATAACAAATAATTTAATTACAAAAAAATATAAAATTGAATTTAAACAACGTTAAAACAACATTAAGCATCATTGCAAAAATCAGTTAAACACTAACTTGATCATTTTCTATATTTAAAATCATTGCGTAATGCGTGATCGTATGTTGTATAGCACGTGTACTTCCCATTAATGTATTTTTCGCAATACTTTTTTCTGAATACTGCATTCGTTGTTCCATATTCCTCGCACCGAATACAGGTGAAACGCGAATTGCATTTTTAACGTTAATTTTTATTTTGGACCAGATTTTTTTCACTAGGTTTAACATTGGACTTTAGGGTCCTAATCGTAACAACTGAGCGAGTGAATTTTCAAACCCAATAAGCACCGAACCAAAAAAAGACGTCTTTTGAACGTTCAAAAGACGTCCAAAACGTGTTCCCAGTGGGCTCATACTTCAAAAAGACGTTTAAAAAACGTCTTTTTGAAGTATGAGCCCACTGGGAACACCCTTTGCAATCAATCATGACATGGAGCATTGTCTGTTACGACGACCAAATCCTCTAAACGATTCCCGGAAAAATCTGCTTTAAATGATACTCCATATTTCCGTGTTTCTTCAATTTGATCATCGGAATTTCAAATTTCTTTGAAAGAGGTGGTTTAAAACTACCTCTTCCAATGAAATTTGAATTTCGATTGCGTAAATAATGGTATGCTGTCTTATATTTGAACCTAAAGTTTGCGCCAGAGTCATCTAATCGGCATTTCGCTCTGCACATTCAATAACTCTTCTTCTATTATTCGGTGAAGATAAAACGTAGTATTTTCTTCGAATTAGTTCGGTTGTATGTATTTCATGTCGACAAATTGGACAAGTTGGTTCTGGTTGTTCCAGAAGTGGATGTAAACAAATTTGGTTAAATAAATGCTGACACGGATTCAATTTAATAACAGACTTTCTGTTTATAGTGTATCGACAAATAACACTACGATTTTTCAATTCCATTATTATTGCTGGTCCATACAAATACTAAATTTGATATTATTATCTTATTAAAATGCATAACCAAGAAGATCTTTTATAATGATCTTTAAGCTTACATTGTGAATTCGCAATTATAAACTTTGTATTCTCATTTACATATTACGATATCTTAATTACAATTTTGTTTTTCTAATTACATACCGCAATTTCTTAATTGCATGTTGGTTTTCTCAATTACATTTTACAATTTCCTAGTTACATGCTGTGATTTTTAATTACATATAAGATTTCTAAATTACATGTTGTATTTCTCAATTGGTGACTCTATTCGCACGCACATGTGAATAAACTAGATCTTATTATAGTCTATTCGCACGTTTAAAAAAAAAATTCAAGTTTGATTTTTAATATGAAATCTCTCACAAACAAAAAATATTTATAACTTAAGTCATATATTTTGAAAGCAAATATAATTTTTTTAATCAGTTATAATAAAAATAAATAAAATTACTTAAACCTAATTAAATTTATTCAAAAAACAAACAAATAGATAAAATAAACATTAAGAAATACTTCTTTTTTAATTAAAAAATTGCCTGCCCAAGCCAAGACCCTCGTCATTGTATTTATACTACACTGTGCCTATCTCTAGATAAGCAGTCAATATATATACGCTACGGTGCGCATATCCTTCAACGGTCAGTCATCGCATGGAAGTATAAAAGACATGGCATTGAAATTCTTCGGGACTATGCTTGTAACCTTTTGTTTCGTAAACAATAAAAAAACGAAATCAAGACTGTACTTAAACGCTTAATCTTTATACGTTGACGCAATAGGTACGTTTATAATCATTTAAAAATATAGTATTTTGAAGGTTCGCCAATTATATTCAAGAAAAACATTTAAAACATCAAACAACAACTTTTTTATAAACTTCATTTTAAATGAATGGAATACTACAAGAATGGACGTAATTATGACATACGGCTAATAAAACTTTAAACTTTAGTTATTTAGAAAACAATTTTTTGATTTTTAAAAGATTGTTTTAGTTGTCTTTTTAATCAAATATCGTGTTATGACTTTAAACAAGAAAAGAAGCTTAAACTATCATAAGCTTTTAAAATCAAGTGATTCTATTTAATTACCGAGTTTTAATAAACCTTTTGCTGAACAATTGCAATTACTAAAAGTTAAAATTTTGCAGCATATCCCTAGAATAATTCATTTTTTGATGTTTTAACAAAAATCATTTCAGTGAATTTTGTTGCTTTTTTGTTCAGTGAAACTTGTTTTGTTTTTTTATTGTCGGTTACAAGCATACTCTTGAGACGACTTGAAATTGATTAGATGTTTGCGGCTCGATGAACTTCCATCTGTTTTATACTTCTATGGTCAATGTAAGTACTGCTTTAGTACACCACTGCGCTAGTTTAATTTTAAAGTTAAAAACCAATAATAATAAATCTAATTTTTTAAATTCTTTTTAAATTTGATGATCTTTAACTTTTTTTAATAAAACGTGCAAATAGACTATAATTAGATATATTCTATTCGCACGTAGAAAAACGTGAGAATAGACCCTCCGTTCTTAATTACATATTGCAATTTCTTAATTACAACTTTCGTGTTCTCAATTACATCTTCAAAAGTGTAGGTGAATTTTTAACATCATTACTTTAATTTCATTGATATAATTAAGCCTGTTTCATTGATATAATTATGCCTGTTTCATTGATATAATTAATAAGCCTGTTTCATTGATATAATAATTAAGCCTATTATTATTATTTGATTAGTAGAAATTAAAAGCCGAATATATTGAAATCCATAAAAAATAACAATAACTTTTGTTGACAACATCTGGAAATTTTTTTCCATAGACAAAGTGCAAGTTTTATTATAAACCATAATTCATATACATTATAATGAGTATTATAAACATGGTTTATACACATGATGAATTGGTTTGCAAGAAACATTTCTGTCGGCTCTAAATGCTATTCTACACGCATATTTTAGTTTATTGTAGAGTTTCTTTTGCATGGATGATACTAGTCCACATTACAGAAGAAAAATAACTGTCAACAAAAATAACTGTCAACAAAGGCAAAATATAATGTTTTCAGCGATATTATATTCAGAAAGTAATTAGCTCTAAACACCATTTTGTTGAGAGTAATGTTTCCATGCTTTCTATATGTGAATACTACGGTAAATTCTCATCCAGACTTACGCCTAAAAAATTTCCGTTTGTTACCTTTTTGATAAAAGTTTTAATAATTTAGAGATTTAGAAGTTTAAAAGGAATACTGATTTATTTATTTAATAGAAAAGTATATATTTTGTTTAATCCACATTTAGGAAAAACTTGTTACTTACAAACCACTCATTTACTTTACATAATTGTTCGTTAACTATTTTAAAAATTCTTTTAATATATCAGTGATAACAAAAAATATTGGAATCATTAGTAAACAAAGTTAGGTCGAAAAGATTTTTTGCTAAGTATAAGTTGTTTATGTGAAACAGAATTAAAAATTGGTCCTAAAATAGCTCCCAGCTTAGTAGATTGCGTAATAGGCTAAATAATAGTTGATTATATAGCCTATTCCACATTGTTCTCTGTAGCAGTTTTAAAAAACAATGTAAATAGATGTAAGCCAGTAATTTAAAACATTCAAATTACCTTCAAATTTTAAGATTAATGTTATAAGCGCAATTTTTAGTTTTTCAGGAGCAACACCTGATTTAAATAAAATATTTTGGTTGCTGTTAAAGAGAAAGTGGAAAGGATTGTATATTAGTGAGTGGCGTCGCAAGGTTTGTGCCGACTTGGCTGGAATCTGAGTTTCACTACTCCCCGATAAAAAAAACTGCATTTATCAAAAAGATTATTAATATATAGGGTTACTTATAACGTAGTTTAAAAAAATTGAAATTTTTTCAACATTTTAAATTTTATTTTTATCGCAACTAGCCACACTTTCAGCATTTGTAAGAAAAACTTCTAGCAGTGTAATTATATAAAAAAGGAAAGAAAATATTTTTCTATATATATACTTATCATTTTCATATCATAATGCAACATGTAATTCTTTGGCTGAAGTCTCATATTTTTTTCTACATTGACAATCCGTGAAAATGCCCAAGTTAAAATAAATTTATTTTGCATAAATGACTACTTTATTAATATATATATATATATATATATATATATATATATATATCAGTTCTCTATTAAAAAAACAATTTTAAAGATTCTAATTTAATAAATCATTGTTGATCCTTTTTTTTGTAGATAGATCTTTGAATCATTTGTTTCCTGAAGGGCCGACTCCCAAAATCCAAGAAGGTACAAAAACAAAAAATGACTGAAACGCAAACCAGCATTTGATCACAGAGATGAATCGAAGAAGATAATGCCTTTTATGAAAACCTTTTTTCGTAACTTTATTAGTTATGTTCTATTTTTTATTTTTTTATTCAGGTTTTTACTTTTAATTTCCGTTGGAAAAAAAATTGAAGAATTTGGCATTATAGTTTAAAGTTTTAACAATCTATAAAATAAATAAAAGCTTACAATACAAAGCTATTCATTGTCTACGATAACGAATGGTTTATAAAACCGTAACCAATCAAAGCGAATATAGTGGATAGTGCAAACCCAAAAATTAACGCAGGTATACATTTTTCGCATCTTGTAGATTGTCGAGAGTACATGTTGTTGCTTGATAAACTAACATTGTTTAAATTTTCCTAAAATTAAAAAAATGTTATTGATTGTTATATTAAACTAAAGAGTTATTAACTGTTATAAACTACTATATGGTAGATTAGGGTATTATGAGCACCTTAAGCGAAAATCGGAATGTTTTCAAAAATAGTTATGCTGGATCAGAATTTTTTGAGAATAAACAAATTTTCACTACTCACGATGCATTTAGATATTTGGGCAACTAAAACTTTTTCTTCAAAAACACAGAACTTTTAAAAAAGTAGCAGAAGTGCTCATATTACCCAGACCACATGGTCACATGGTAACCACATGGTAATATGAGAACTTTAAATTAGCTGGGGGAAAAAAAACATTAAATAAGTTTAAAAAATACCAATCTGACAACTAGAACTAATTTTTGGAATATAATGATTCGTTATTAACAAAACTTAAAAGTTCAAAACTTTTTGAAACAATACTACTTTGTTACGCAAAAAAAAAAAAAAAAAATTAGTTCTTTGTTTTTCAATTTTATTCATTTAAACCTGTAAACAATAAAATTAAAAATTTTACTTAAATTACAGAAATTTTATTTAAAAACTTAAATTACAGAAAGATTATTAGTATTGTTAAAATGTTAGAAAATTTTTATTATATTTTGTTTTTATTCAAAAAGCAATTAAAACCACTGCAATTTTAGGACTTTAAACTGATAATTTCAATGAAAAACACTAGTTAATTCAAGCATGCTTACAGGGGGATCCATAGGAGGGGAGGCTATTGGGGCAATCACTATCCCTTTTATTTAACAAAGCATGGTGTTTGAAAATGGAAGTAAATTAGGGAGGCTGTTTAAATGTGATAAGAAATTTAAATAAATTTGTGATGCAAAAACATCGGATTAAAATACTGTCAACACGACGTATTTTCAGAGTTACATAGATTAAAAGAATGTATGACTAATATTCTAAAAAAAACTTACTAAAAAGGTTTTACGACTTAAATCTGAACCTCCCCCTCCTCCTTACTTTAATAAAGTCTGGATCTACTGAATCAAAAAATTGCCCCCTCCTTTCTCGCTGAATTTTATGGATCCACCGAATAAAAAACCTAAAAATTACCCCCCTCCTCCTCCACCTAACTAGATGGTCTGGATCCGCCCCTACATGTTCATAATACACAAAAAATAAAATCAAAACTAAATAAAACATAAAACTGTTTCAATGAATTGTTTTTCAAACATTTCAAGCTAACATATTTTTCTTTATAAAAAAATTAAACATTATTTTAGCATCAAAATTTCAAAACAATGACTGCTAAATTAAAAAAAAATGAAAGAAATCTAGCTGTTTACATGAGAAAACAGTAATTAGGGACAATTCCAAATTGAAAATTTTGGGAGATCGCACTTTTCCCGCGTCCAACTTTTCCCCATTATTTCCTATTGAAATAATTTGTTATTTTGTCTTTGAAACAAGAAATAGCCCACTAGAGATAAAATATTGGCTGCTATTCTTATGGCGTTGATGTTTCGTGAAACCTTAAAACTTAGATAGCTTTGATTTGTAGGATAGGGGACATTGGGGAGAAGTGGGACGCGGGAGAAGTGGGACAGCCTGAAATTTCTAATAAGGAGTGGTGCCTAAATACTGTTATTTAATATAAACAATTAAATTTCTTTCTAAATATCGATTGGTGAAAGCACTTGAACATTTTTATATCAATTAGGTGATTTTATGATTTTACCAGTTTCTATTTAATAATTTGTGTTAAATTTATTTGTGCCACTGTTTCTCTAAAAGCAAAAATTTATATACTTAGTTATAATTGGCTGGAAACCTAATGGGATTGAATCGGTGCCTAAAAAGGTTTATTCGTAAAAATTTGTTTAGTTCAGTTAATACATCAAACAAAAAAATTGCAATTACCCTTAAAAAAATTTACGTGTCCCACTTCTCCCCACTCTTCCCTACTAAATAATCCCTAACTATTGCGTTGACATCTGTAAACGTTCTCCCAAATTTCTAATCGACTAAACTGATAAGTACTATAACAAGAACAAGTTCAAACGCTATACTTAGCAACGGATGCCATACCTATATCAAAAGATTGGGCTTTGTTGAGCACACGCTCGTGAAGCAGTCCCTTGAGTACGAAGCTTTACTGAGTGATATTTTCCCGTTTTCAATTTGTTTAACTGCAAGTTGCAATTGCTCGCTGATGTAAATTGGTTAGATAGAAGCAAATGCTATTATATCTATTTATGTTTTAAATAACTATTATTTATTAAATAACTCATCCGAAATTATTTCATTGCATAACTTTCTCTCTCAAATCACAAAAATTGTTACTTACCCCCTCCCTCCTTCATCCTTTAAATTTTGTTTGTTTGCACTCTAAGTGTAGTTACGTCACTTTCAGCATGGCGAATGGCGCCTTTTTTTGACGAGGTAAACTAAAAACCTGCGTCTGCTCCTGACTATTTTTCATTAAATAACTCATCTGCAATTATTTCAATGCATAAATTTTTTTGAACCAAACAAGTTCAATTAAAAAAAAAAAGAGTGTCATAAAAATTCTCTATAAAACCGTCTATTTGGATTAATCAAATTTAATTTCAGTTTAAGAGTTTGAACTCATTTTTTTTTTTTTTGGCAGAGAAATGTACTAAGGCAAATATAAATATTTTAAAATAAATTTTTGTTTTTAGACAAAGCGGAAAAATTCTCTGTTAACGACGCTTGTTTAAAGTTTTTTTTGCTTAAACTTAAATGCAAAAAGAAACAAAGTTGCATGACCTATCGTTTTGTTTTTTTGCCTCCTTTTTTCCCAGTTTACTTATATAATAAAACAAACAACAACATACGATTCTCGTATTGCTAATGGAAACTGCTTATCTCTGATAAAATAGTTAAGTTAAGTGAAGATGAATGATTAAAACTTACGAGTTCTAAGTGTAACTTTTCACCGGTAACTACTTCAAATTTCGGTGGTTCATCAAGAATAAACTTTTCGATTAAACTTTCATAGTTCGGCAGTGTTGACTTTGATACATTTTCGTTTGAACAATCCTCTTCTTTTTGCAACACCTGGTTGTCTTTTTCGTCAAATGAGCGTGTCGAACTGTTATTATGCTGGAGTTTGTTATCATGTAATGGATCTATAAAAAATGTCCGGTCGTTGAGACTTAGTGAGACACTTGAAAGTTGATTTTTAGAGTCATTTTCGACATTAAAGGAATGCATTGAGGCCGTCAAAGACTTTACCAATATTAAAATGCAGTCCAATTCTGTATTTCGAAGAAAAAATTAATAAACAAATAATTGCTCTCAAAAAAAAAAAATTATTTAACAGATCTAACAACGTAAGCGTTTTTAACTTTTTGTTAAAAGTCAAATACGTCATAGGATTGTGGCTTTCAAGTATTTTTTTCTAAGCCACATGAATTCCATTGGCGCTCGTTGTGGAGTCAATAGACAAAAGTACCTGAGCCTAAGGAAAATGTAAAATTTTCTTTTACTTTTGTTTTAACAAAGATACAAGCGATAATGATAGAAAAACGAACAAATTTGTAAATAATAAATTTGAAAATTTTCTTATATTTTACGGTTGAATTCCGTCGGTTTAACGACCTTGTTAACGATCAATTTATTCACGTTGTGCACTCGTTTATTCTATTCTATAATAAAGTATTTAATATATTTAATCTCCTATGAGAGAGGGTGCTGTAGGCGTTTTTCTTTTTATAATTTCAAATATTAAACCAATTTTTTTTTATTAGATTGAAATTACACTTTTTTATGGTAATATGTTTTATAACTTTAAATCAACATTTAAAGTTATAGTTTTAATTATAAAATATTTTTTTGATAACTTTATACAAAAATTGGAAGTTTTAGCCCATTTAGGATTCTTAAGGAAGAACTACGTACTTCCTTAAGAATCGAATTCTAAAACAATGCCACTTCTCGGTTTCATCCCAAACAAAGTAAGTTTTTTGCTATTTAAAAATTTTAGCACGTGAGTTATTTAAAAAAAAACGGAAAACTAAAAGACTTCTTCTAAAATTGACGCATTTAAAACAATAACTTAAAAAAGGTTTTTTGCAAAAAGTAATACTAATTTTAACAGCAAATAGTTATTTAAACCTTTCAAAGTTTTACTTAAGACGCAAAACAAACGCGCACGTGTTACGAAGCTTTTAAGAATTTATTTAACGAGTTTATTTGTGACGCCCGATCAACATGCAGCATGCTCTCTTTGAGTTTTTTTGAGGGAATTTTTTTTAGATTTGTTTCCAAACGTATGTAAAAAACTTATAATGCACTTTATACTACAGTAGTTTTAATAACCAATAAGTCTTAGAATAAAGTAGAAATGTGTAGTTTTAGAATGCAATCGTAAAAAAAAAAAATCATTTAAATAATTGAGAAAACTGAATATAAGTTTTTATTACCAATTTTTAGATTTGAGTCAAGTTTTTAAGTATATTTTTTTAAACTTAAACATTTCAGGGTTTTTTCCGTCTTTTTTTAAAGGTGTTTTTTATGTTTTAATTCATATAGATAAACTAATGTTGACAAAATTTTTACGCTATTTTACGCTTAGTTTTATGTGTTAAAAAAAAAGATTTTTTTTCTCACGACATCAAGTATTGTATAAAGAATGCAGGGATCTAGACAATAAGTTTACAATATCAGATTTAAAATCAAATATTGGAAACTTATTGTATTGACTCAGGTTTTTGCTCTATTCCGATAGAAAATCAAACGTCAATTGGAAAAAAGGTTTGGAAAAGGGCAGTTCAAAATTTCTCTGAAATGGTTACATTATTTGGAATATCGAGACCTTCCATTTTGAATTCTTCTTCATGGAGTCTTTCCGGAAAAGCCGCGTTTTCTCGCATTTGGCTGCAATATGAAACAGTCTAGTCGCAAAAGTACAAGTTACATAGCTTACAGATTCTCTAAGACAAACTCAATTGTTAGGAAAGTTAAAAAATAAGGAGGAAGTTTGAATGATTTTAATGATCAATCAATGGTGCTCAAAATATTGGAGGCAATAAAAAAGGGAAACAATTCTTGATGCAACGTCTGAGTTGGCTACAGCTTTCAAGCCATTTTCTGACTGGTAAATTGGAACGGGTGGAGCCAAAAATCGACTGGGATTTAAGAGCTCCTTGTAGAACAGTTCAACAGTAGGGGAAAGGCCCTATGATGGCATACTTAACTTTGAAGCTTCGTTATTCAGTATACTGAAGACCAAGAATAAAAGATCTGATATTGATACATTCTCTGTTACATGTAGAATAATAATAACCTACGGAGTTTTCATCAGATTTTTTTATTAAATATTTTCATTTAAAAATAAAGTACAAGTATGCCATCATAGGCAACTACTGCTCCTATGATGGCATAGGGGAGGATAGGGTTGGTTAGCATTAAGGGTAACTTGACAATTTCATTTGACTATAGAATATTCCCTCAGAAATGCCAGAAATTACGCGTAATCGTTCTAATTAACTATTTCGTGCTACACAGCAGCAGTGTAGAATTTTGCGCATGCACATAAGAGATATTACGTTTTATGTTTTTTTGAACCAAAAATTATTTAGTGAAGTAAATTCCTTTTTACTTCTCTAACAAATATGATGTTTTTATGAAAAATAGAGGTTTTCTCAACACGACAATATTACAACACATTTAACTCGTCAGCATGCCATCATAAGAAGAAGTGATCATTTTCATTTAAACAAGCTATGTCTGTTTTGTTCAAAAGATAAAATTAAAGTAAGTGTTCCACTAAATGCACAAAACTTGGAAATAAAATCCATGAAAATTTCATTTCTGCACAGTTAATAATAAAATCACAATTTTAAATATTTAAAGAGATTAAAAATACAACAGCACATTCCAAAATCGATTTTTGTTGATTATAAAAGTAATATTTGTGTGTAAGGGACGTTTTTTTTACTCGCAATAAATAATTCTTTACTCGCAAGAAATAAAAACATTCCATTCTCGAATGCTAACTTTAAGAAAACACATGTTGACATTTTTTGAAGTTATCATAGTTTCCATTATACTGCAATTAAATACACAAAAAAAAAGTTTGTCCAGAAATTAACTTCCTGAAATTCATTAAAACTACTAACAATTCTATTTTGAATAAATCAAATGGTGTGGCGGAATCAAATGGTGTGGCGGAATCAAATGGTGTGCGGAATAGTGTCGCAAAATTTTGATTTTCGCAAATTTTTACTGTTGCAAGTTTGTCGAAAATGTAAAAAAAGAAAAGTGTTGCAAATTGTCGCATTAGTGATCGTCGAATAACAGAATAAGGAATAATGTCGCAAATGAATTTAATTAATAGTGTCGAAAATAAAAAAAAAGAATATTGTCGCAAAGAAGTTTAATAAATAGTGTCGAAAACAAAAAAAGGAACAAAAAAAAAGGAGTTACAAAAATAAATAAATATTAGTAACTTTAAATGTGTGTTTAGATATAATAATTATGTATAATAGACTTTATTCTTTTTTAAATGTTAATAATATTCTTTACCATAAATTGTTTGGATTTAAATCTGAACAACGTCCCAGTACCACACTGGGACTGACGTTGTTCATGATCTGTTCATCAATCTGGGACTCACGTTGTACATGATATATTTAAAACGTTTAATGAAAGCAATTATATCTTAGGTGTATTCATTGATTAAAGTAAAGCTTTTGAAATAGTCGATCACTAAGTTCTTCTACCCAAGCTCAATGGTTATGGTATAATAAAAACCAATTTGTACTGGTTTGAGAGTTACTTGGCTAATAGGAAGAAGTACATAATATAGAATGGAAAAAAAACTTTTATTTATCATTTATACAAATGATTTAAAAAAATTTGTTAAAATTTTAATTTCAATTTTGTTTGCAGATGACACCAACTTGTTTTGTTCCAGTAAAAATATCAAGAAATTAATTCAAACTGTAAACAAAGTAATAAATTATCCCAATGGTTTAATTCGAACAAACTATCTTTAAAAATCATTAAAACTAGAGCGTGACGATTATTTGATAAACGAATTTTTTTTAAAGATTATTCGTTAAACAGTTACGAATATTCGTTCATTTTCATTTTATTCGTTGAACGATTAGTGAACGAAAAATTATTGTTCAACATATAAATCTTTACGAATATTCGTTAAACAAATTCGTTCCCGCTTATTTGTTGTACGAATAAAATAATCGTTTAGCAAATAAGCAGTTGCGAATATATTTGTTAAAAAAAGAAGACGTTTAATTTAGTTAGGATATTGGTCATTAGCTTAGATATATCTACAACATTTTTCAGATTTAGTTATGCCACATAGCCGAAGTTAGTGTTTTATGTATTTTTTGAATGTTTTTTCGTTATTCTGTGATCTATCTACTTGTCAAAGGCCATCTGATGGTAATATTATTAACTTTTCAAAATAATTGAAACAAATTTTAATGAAAAGCAACAATAAAAAAAAGTAAATTATTATGTATAAGAAAGTATATTTTTTGTATATATTTTCTCATTTTTAATTGTAATCTTTTTTAAACATCGCCCAGATGATATTTTCCTTCATATATCTCCTTAAAATTTTTCATGAAAACCATCATTTTAATATTGTCAATGCTAAGGCTATTTCTTCTTTCCGATATAACATTTCCAGCAGTTGAAAATACTCGTTCCAAGGTAGCTGATGGTACAGGGATGCACAAGATCTTTCTTGCTAGTCTGCTGAGATAAGGCAATCTTGTACGATTGGTCTTTCAATATTTGATAATATCTGCGTTGTCGTTTGCAACTCTTTCATCAACATAACGTGCTGCCTTGCATTTGGCATAAGTTAACGGACAATTTTTATCAGTGTTTTTATTTTATTGCCCATATAGCTTCTTTACAGCAGCAGTTGAAGCTTCTTGATCGGAAGAATTGTCATTTTTGGATGATTGGTTTAAGTTTTCAATGCATGTTGGACTTTCGCCAACATCTCTTCGGCGTATATCAGTTATAGCTTGAGTAGCGGTATCCTTGATGTTTTCGTATCTTTGCTCATCAAATACAAAAATGATTGATCCCTTTTGTCTTGAATCAAGAAAATGTGCCATTGAATACTCAGTTACTTTATGACCACAATCAGAAAAACTTTCTTGGATTCCTGCTATTAGAGCTTGAGTTATATTCGTGACACATGTAAGAGAACTTAGTTTTCCAATTTTAGTTAAAACTTGTTAGTTTGCTTAAAACTTGTGAAATTTTATCGACTGGATCAAGACATTCAATAATACCTTTAATGATATTAGCTTCTGCAATAATGG